TAGATCCAGATGATGAAGACGATATCGATGAACTTACTGGTACTTCCTCTGGTCTAAGTGATCAACCACAGCAGAAGTTTGATGTTGGTACCTTGTTTCCAATGGATTCGGATTCTTGGACTGAATTGCAAGAAGCAATACATGGAAAATCGGAGGTAGATCCTTTTTTAAAGAATCCATATAATTATCCTGCACCACCAACAAATCGTACTGGAGAATATGTATTTAGAGGAATAAAAATAATTTTTCCCAAATCAATGTTAAAGTCTGAATTTTACCGTTATCGTTTCGAAGAAAAGGATCAGAATTTGCCAGATGATATTCGTATTATAAATTTCGCAAAGTGAACAAGTATTTCATACTGATAGATTTACTGGAGTGGAGTGCTTAGTTTGCATTAACATTGGAGGGACTTGACGAGTTCAAGTAAATTGAGTATTCATTATATATTTTTTAAGATTCACAGTTCTAATAATATAAATAAATATTTGCTTTATCAAATTTATTTAAAAATAAATATACATAATTAATAATATGTGCGTATTTAATATAAAACATACATAATAAATATTGCTATGAAAAATAAAGAATTTTATATATATTTTCATGGGACTATTAATTGCTTAAGTTAGATTGTTATAAATGCGATAGTAAAATATTATGTGACAGCATCGTAAATATATATTTTTACTTAATTGGCCATTTTCATACCGATCTTAGCCACATCCAATATCTTCCACTAACCACTTATTTGTTTCATGAGCTATATGACATTCCTTCCCAGCTGAACTGCTGAATTCAACAAAAACTGAATCGAAATCAAATTTTTTAATGTAATCTACAACGTTTTGAGCAGTATAACACCAAATTTGTTACATTATTATTGACTCTACAGCATAAAAGTTCTAAATCAATCTTATAAAAATAATCAATTTAATAAAAACCCAAATCCACTCTTAAATCGGTACTAGCATTGATAAACATTCTTCAGGTATACACATTGGTGTGTTTGATATTGATATGAACTGTCAAATTATATATCTACACAACAAAAAATATATCGATGAAGTTACTGTGGCTTCCACTGGTCTAGGTAATCAAGTAGGGATATGATGTTGGCATCTCTGCAATTGGTTCTTCCTTTTTATGAATTGGATAGAGTACGGTTAAGTCCACTGACTGCGTTCAAGATAATTTAAAAAAAAAATGATGAGACTACAATGCAATGCTTACAACCACTTTTCAAACATAACAAACATAAAAGCCAGATAATTAGACCAGCAGAAGCTACAAGTTGTTCAAAGTCAGGCTCTCCGAAGGCTCTTCAATGTGCTATGGAACATCCGCAGGAATGACATGCTAAGAGACCTTAAAATAGATCCGGTCAAAAAATACATAATGAACAGAGCTCTGAAGCTATATGCGAAAACCGACAGGCCGTCCTACTTAGCACTATCTAATCTCAGAGTAATCACTAACCGCACGGGATGATACGTAGATCTTAGATCAATCATTGAATAATTACGAAGATTATGAGGAATACTTATATTAATCAGTGAGATGGGTGGGACTGTGCAGACACTCCCAGCTATCAGAGAGTAAAAGTGCCCAGATGCACTAACTCGGAAAAGGATCATTATTATACTACATTACTATTACTACAAAAATTGATCAAAAACATAAATAATTAAAGTACATATGTTAGTATATTTGTGATTAAATAGTTGTATGCACTAAGCTAATAAGTACTCTTTGAGAACAACTTCAATTATTGGCGTCTATTCATTATAAGGTGTAAATCAACTTTTTCATCTTTGCATTACATTTCATTTTAAATTAACAAATTTTTCAATTATCCTTTGTATTCCAAAGAGCTTTTTATGTGATTTACATTCAGACCATAAAATTGTAACCCAAAAATAAGAAAAAAAATAAATATGGGTCACTGTGCAGGTTTTGTCATTCACATAACCGATATATTCGTTTTCTATTAGACATTTTTTATTCCATGGCTGTGCTCTGTCATTTCGATTGCACTTACAGAAATACGCTTTTATACTAATGATGCTGCCAATACACTTGCAACAGTTGCAGTTACACTTGCTGAAACAAGTCAGCAACATCAACATCAAACGTGAAGTATATTTATGCCATCGAAATACACACTTCACTATACAAATAATTTCGAAATTATATACCGACAATGTTGGCAAAGGGCATAACAATTTGACTTAAACAAGTAAGTCCTTAAACCTCCTTTATACTTACTACGCCCTCTATTAATGCAATGTATGAGTTAAAGTAAATTTGACGTGCGGATAACCTTACGAGTAATGTTGTCAATACGCTGCTTGTTCTTGTTGTTGCTGTTGCTGCTGTTATGAGTGTTGTTGTTATTGTTGTTGGTGTAGTTGGTGTTGTTGGTGTAGTTTGTGTTTTTGTAGTGGCATAGTTGTTGATTTGCATGTGCAACATATCATATGGTTCAGCACACATCAAATAATAAATTATCCTTTCGGAAGCTTCCTGTATGGGCGTTGCATTGTGCATCAATGCAATTTGCTTGATGTGCTTTCCCTCTTTGCACTTTGAATGCGAAAAATTACGCTTTTACATTACAGTTGCGTTGTTCCATATAAAGTTTTATGGCTTTCAACTTTTTAACTTTTGGGTTGAGAATTTCGTTTTGTATCTTTTTGTGGAATATTTCAACTTTTGGGCAACTCAATTTTTTATAGTTTTTTTCGTTTGATGTTGTTACATCGGCCACATGTTTTCATGTGCTTAAAACTGACAGCGGCATTCCGAAAACGAATGAAAGTTGTTCCCAAACTCATTTGTGTATGTTTGGCAGAAAACAGTTGGAATTTCTATGCACTTTGTAAATGTTGTACCAAGTGAAACAATAGGAGCAGGCAACAGCATTTCCATCAACAGCATCTGAGCCATCAGTTTGCATAGTAGAAGGCAGTGATAAATGCATCCTTAGTGGCTTTTGACCTACTTAATAAATGGTTGAAGTTTAGTAAATGTTCGGTATTCTGTAACCCGAAATCTCTTTACACAGTAAAATTTTCAATCGAAGAAAATAGAAAAGGATTCGGTATGATATTAAATAAATATTAACAAAAAAAAACATTTTAAATTATGCTAAGTATTATTTATTATAGAAATACGGATGACAAATTGAAGGATTAGCTATTAATTAAAAATTGATTTATTTTAAATTATCTCTATCGCAACTAATAGTGCCTTACCAGTAGATCTATACTTGAATAACTGACGTTCAATTAAAAATTGAGTTATTGAAACAATTCTCTATTCCATCCAATAGTGGCTTTCAGTAGATATTTTCTAGAAGAATTGCATTTTAATTGAAAATTGACTTATTTCAACGATTCTCCAACTGATATAATAGGGGCTTGCTAGTAGATATTTACTTGAATAATTGACTTTCAATTGCAATGATCCTTTCACTTATTTTAATGATTCTCCATCCTATCTAATAGTGGCTTTCTAATAGATGTTTACTTAAAGGATTTACTTGTGATTGAAAATTGACTTATTTTAACAATTTTCCAACTCGTGTAATAGTGGCTTTCCAGTAGATGTTCACTTAGAGGATTAACTTTCAATTAAAAATTGACACTTTAACGGTTCTACATTCCGTATAATAGCTGCATCCCATATAAAAGTTCTGCAGAATATGCTCGCATAGCAGCTAATACATCTTCGAAAATGTTTAACTATTGTTGCTTTTACTATTGTAGCAGTATTTTTAATTGGTGGCAAAAACATAGAAATATTTCTATGTTTGGTAGTCTAATGTTAATAGTAGTATTTCTTATACAGTTACCTATGAATTTTTGAGCAAATCCTGTCATACAGCGTGACAAAATTAGAATTAAACGATATAAGTATTAATATCAGAGACATTAAGATTACAATTTCCTCAAACATAGCTTTTGGAACAAACTTTCTTTTGTATGTAATCTGTTGTTATCGGCTTTTGATAGCAGGAATAGCTGCAAATGCTTCTTATGACATGTCAATATCTACTTCTTCATCTGGTATTATGCCATCATCGATTTCAGTTTTTGATTTGCTTGTAATTTGGGTCATTGCACAGCCAGTAAGTCCTATACTCCATCATCACTATCCGACAAAGTGTCACCTAAAATTAGATAAAATTAGATTACATATATTAAGGCTACAGATAAAAATAAATTCAATATACCTATATGATAATTATATCTAATTAGTGTTGGTGAAATAGGTAGAGAATTGCAATTTTGGTCTGCCTGTATGGTAATTTTGGTCGATGATCAGATATGTCATTTATGTACGATAAATATTTGATTTATAATTTTATAGCTTTAAATCGGTAAAATAATAAATATAAAGTATTAAAAAAGTACTAAAAAAAATTATTTGTTTTTTAAAAATACTCATCTAATCAATATTGAGTTGTGTTAAGAAACGACTTTATAGCATAAAACGATTATAATCAAAACTTCATTATAGTGTGTTCCCACTGACTTCATTAAAGCAATTTATTGACTTTCATCTTCACTTATGCCAATGGAAACTACCAAATCCTAATTTGATTAATATCAGTTCATTTAGCTGTAATGGGAACATAGTATTACAGTTTTGCTTAAATTATGTGTGCATATACATATGTAGTAATTGTTTATATATGTCAGATGGACCTTTTTTTACAAGAGCTAAGAAATATCTCCAAATATCTGCATATTAAATTACTTGTTAAAACAGTTTTATTCTTGGGTATAAATGTTAACAGATGAAGAGCTAATGACCTATCAATATACACTAATGATGCAATTGGAGTTGAAAAAAAAATTATGATTTTAAAACTGTTTAATTTTAATCTGACAAAGTAAACAATAAACTAAAATAAATCTATAATGAAATATTCCTTAAAACATTTTCATAAAAAATAAATTCGATTAAATTGTGTTACAAATTTTTCTACAAGAAAATTTTTTTGACAATTCAAATTTTACTTAAAATTTGAAGAAAATACACAAATGAATATTTTACTCCGTGTATCTAAAAATATCGGTAGATCCTCAAATTTAATCCGAAATAGTTTAAAAATTGCTTTAGTTAAACCTAGCGTAATTCAAAAAAGGAATATTTTTTGTGTTGCCCGCGATATGAATAACATTAATTTAATTAAATCGTTGTGTCCAAATGATTCACTGAATAGAAGTTATTCGAAGTATTTCAATCCCATGAATGAAATAGAACAAGGTACCAAAAATAAATGTGATGGAGATGATGAAAAGGAAGAGATCAATATGAATGAGCACAGTATGCATGATTTAACCAATAACATTGATACTGAAAATGAAAAACTAGATATCGTTAATGCCGAGACACCTGATATGGAACAGAACTATTCATTGAACGAAACTAATTATGAATCAGCTATAAATGTTGTCGATATTAATTGCCCTATACCTACACAAAATTGGACTGCTGCGGAACTAGTGAGGTTGCAGAGAGTTTTTCTCACATCAATCAATGATGTTTCATTCAAATCTTCAGATTACTACGTCACAGTTAAAAGTATTGATAGCGAGAATCGCCAAAATGATGATAGTACTCATGAACCTAATATTAAAGCTTGCCTTAATGACGAATCTTCCTTAAGTTTCTTCGTCAAATTGACTGATGATGACAAGATTAGCAAATGGACATTGTCTAAGAAATGGAGTCATCTTGATGGACTAACTGTGCCTGTGGCCACTGCAATTGCTTGGAATGAACTAGAGAATAGTAACGTTGATATCAATACATCTAATATAGAAACTTCTGATATATCCAGCAACTGGTTTATAATACCAACTAATATAGGTACATTTAAAACTTATCTCGATCCACCTTGTGCCAATTGTAGTAGATTAATGGGATTAATGTTTTCTGGAGAGTACGAAAGTGGAAAAGTGAAATGGTGCAAAGGACAACCACTCATTAGTGTTAAAACATCTAAAGTGTATTCTTCTGATAATGAAGAACTTGAAACCTACAGTTTTTTATTTGTTACAAGAGATGTTGTGGATGCATTGAAAATGCATATTGTTCCGGCTATTCCAGTGGGTAGTACGTGTGACGAATTAAGTGCGTCCTGTGCAAGTTTTAAATTCAACCCGGAAGATAATCTTATACCTGTAGTAGAACGTATTCGTGATAATAATAGAACTGAGATATGGCATTCATTGTTGTTGGAAGTAACTGAGGAAGGTATATGTTACATTAATATTGATGCGCGCTATACTTGTTGTAGTATGTTGGACGGGTTAGTTGTGCCATCGGATTATAAAGTCACTTGGAATAAGGACTATGCACTTGTTAATATCTTTATACCTGATGTTATAAAAAATGATTGCGACAATGAAGAACCGAAAACTTGGAAGAGAGTGTACGTTGAAACAACGGGAGAAGGTAGAATGAAACTAAATATAACTCCATATGATGAAGAATATGGATTCGACTGGTTTAAAGGATGGCAAATCGTGAATACCACAGATAAATGTGAAACAGATGTAATGATGGTTCATACATGTTATAAACCGGATATTCATTTTAAAGAAAATCTTACTGCGATCATTAACGAGGAAAGTAAATTTGATGAAGTAACTGAACCAGCATTCACTAATACTGTTAAAGTAAATGAAAAAGAAAATGTTGTTATCGACATCCTCACACCTGAGGATCTCTGTAATAACAACAAAAACGAAACATAAACAACATAAAAAACATTAGTTACAATCCATATCCAGAAGTCTTTGCATGAGTTCATATTTGTCAAAAAAAATCCACTAGGAAGAGTTACTAAGAAATATATATATAGTATATATTTCATTTCAAATCTGAGTAAGAAAGTGAAGGCACTTATGGACTAATTTAAAAGAAACCTGATTAAGAGTATCAGGTCTTAGCAACCAATAAACAAATGTATACAGAAGGCTTCTGGATTGGATTTGCATATACTATTCAAAAATTGTAATGGCTTGAGCTGTGCACAGTTCAAAAAACATGCAGAAATCTTAAGAACAGTTGAGAAGTATTATATTAAAGCGATTCAAGTTATTGATTAATTTTTATCAAAATGAAACAAAAAGAAGCTAGAAAAGATGTGAATATATTTCGATATATAGATATTTTAAGCTGTTGTCAATTCAAATACCGATCAAGAAAATGCTAAAGCGATATTTAACATCGTTTACTTTGTGTTGAAATTGAAACAGATTGAAGAAACTAGATGTTCTTTCTAACTCCGTGACTAGTTCTTAAGACTCTGTGAATTCAAGAATAACCGGATATAACAAAAAATAATAAGATATAAAAATGGTACCATAAATACGTGCCGTGCCAATCTTTTAATATTATTAAGATCAAAAGTAAAGGTTTTAAACTGCTAAGAGGTAAGAAATAATATTTCTTCTTAAAAATCATTATTCATATCTTGTGCTTATAAGGATTGTACTGAAATCATCAATAAACGCATAATAATATAGGTGTTGTACGGTTCACATATTAACTATGAAGAATTGGTTAATTATTTGAGAGAGATGATGGAGCCTTTACTATGTGTAAGCTACTTGACTTACGAAATAACGAAATAATGAGAACTACTACTGAGAGTCCCATGGTTATTGAGAACTTCGAAAAATAATTTTTGTCGACCGAAGTCAACTGAATGATGGTCAAGAAACTACGTTGTCACTGGTTTGTATCAAACATATTTAAAAATTAATTTTTTTTTGCTTGTCTTTGCAGATAGATGCTGTATGTACTACTTTCTTCAAATAATTTTAATGTGTAATGTTATTTCTGTATTGAAGGAAACTTATAGAACTTATGTAGATGTCTTCAACTATAATCTTCAACTGTACACACGGCTGGCAGAAAATAATGTACAGGATTCATGTAGCTGTCTTCCACTATGTGCTAGGCGAGTTCCAACTAACAAGAATTCCTATAGTACTACATAAGTACTGCTTTCAATTGTAAAGACTGCTGATAGAAAACTACTTATAGGACTCATGATTTAAGTATAAGATGACCGAGTCACAATTAACAAGAAATACATAAAGGATTTATGTAGCTATCTTTAACTTTGGCTTAATGGGATTCGAATGCAGAAGATAAGTTCAGAGTCGTCATGTAGCTATATTTCATTACGGGCTAACTAAGCTCCAATAAGTAAGAAAAAGGTGTAGGATTCATGCAGCTGTGTTCAATTATGACCTCATGCAGTTTGTAATTAAGAGAATACATTGGTAGTGCTTAAGTAGCTATCTTTCACTATGAATTCCAATCAACAAAAATAATTTAGAGACTAACATGAATGACTTACAGGACTTTAATTCTACAACAGTGTTCAACTATAACGACTGTTAACAGAAAATTACTTGTAGGATTCACCTAGTTATTTTAAACTATGAACTATGGGAGTTCCAATAGGAATAACTAATATGCGGATTAGAAGAACAAATACACTACTAATATTTTGATGTTTAAAATTTTTACAAGTTATAAACAAGTTAATATCGAACTGATTTACCGCACCACATAAATAGATGCAAAAAATTTGAGGATTAATAAAAAATATATTTTTATATAAATTTTATAAACTTTAATATCCGGATAAATAAATTTTAAATAAATATGTTTTTTTTATATACCTTCAGCCAAAATTTTCTTTTGTCGTTTCTCACTTTCTTCCTGCGATTTCTCTAATTAATATTTAAGTGACAGTGCTGGCACTTCCTTTGCTCGTACACCTAATGTGAGACGTGTCATAATGGCATCCATTATATGGAAATGTTTCCGTGTGTTCATACTTTATTTGTGGTTAAACCTGATTGAACATGCTTTTTTAAACGATTATAGAAACATTTCAAATTTTTGATCTGTGTTATTGTCGCCTCGTGTATCTCTTTTGTATTCCTCTTGTGTGTTGTCTCTTCTATCCCTTTTGAACCCGATTTGTATCTCTCACGTGGATCTATATCGCCAGTTGATAGGTAATAACATGATTTTAATAAAAAAGTAAACACGTACTATTGTGCACCATTAAGCCCCACTTCACTCCGTCGAATGTCATCTGTGTACTGGGGACCAGAATTTATTTCCAATGAACTGGGGCGCAGGAACAAATTTTTTAAAATAAATATCTGTCAAAATATCTGATTAGCACTGCTTTCTTCATGTTTAATAATTAAATATTTTGACACATGATTTTTTTTAATTTTATAAACAAAATAAAAACATAATTGTATATAATTAATACTTCAAAAAATGTTTCGATTCTGCAAAGACATTTTAGGTATGATTGGCAGTTGTTTTGGACAACGAAATAGAAGACAAAATCCATGGGCAGATATAGAACTGCATGAACATAATACACGTAGAATTGATCTTGATAATATTAGCGTTGAGACAGAAATTTTTACGCTATATGAAGAAGATGAAGAAATACCCATTGCTTCAGGAAAAGCTAATGATTCACATGCTACTTCAATGAAATATGATGCCACATCAATAACAGATGTTTCCCATCGATATGAAAATCAGTCTAATATTTTGCATGCTAGTTTTGTTAGTGTAGATTTGAATCGTTCGGAACAACTTTACAAAAATGACAGTAATAATGATATACAGTTAATTATATTTAACGGTATAATTTTAAAAATATATGTATATATGAAGAATATATTATAGTTTTTGAACAGATTCAAATTTGGAAGTCAATGCTGAACCTGACAATAGAAGTGTAAATGAAAGTAACTCTTCTAAATATCAAAGTTGTGAAACTGATGAGGTTTTAGTCTTTAAATCACCAATTACTGAACATAACTTATCACAAGACTGGGTTTATTTTGATAGTAATAGCAAAAAAAAATTAATATTTTTATGTCAAATTATGTTATATGTATAAATTAGATACTGATGAAAATGCAAAATCCAAAGATGATGCAGAACGCATAAATGAATTTATTCAACATCCGCAAGATTTCAAAATGAATAAAATGTGCTTCCTGGCAAATAATGAAGGTATGTCTTATTCAAAAATTATATAGAATTTATATATTGCATTCATTATATGTAAAAGCACTTAACGAAACAACGGAACCATCCAATAATCAGCCAATCATAAAAGAATGCATTGAAACTTCAGAAGAAACTGAAGCAACTGGATCAAATGGTATATATAAAAATTTTAGGTATATATAAAACTGTACATTAAATAATAAATGTCGTGACTAGCTGTGGAAGAGCCTGAAAATAGTAAATTCCAGGAAAGTGGTTATGAAGAATTTTTGGGTGGAATTGGTCAAAATGTAAACCCACAGTTTTCACCTAATAAAGGTGCATTTTGTGTATTATATTAGACATTAAAATAGAATAACAACTTCTTTTGCAGATTTCTGTTTTAAAATTTCAGAACAGTTACCCTAAACTCTACATATACCAATTTTATATTATGATGTATGAATGAATAAAAGCTCATTATCAAAGGTACTCTAGTTTGCGTAAAATTGATTAAATATATAAATTATTATATATTTATAAAAAAGCGTTGATTTTAAAAAGAAATTTTTAGTATATAAAGAGCAATGAAACCTTATAAAGCTATCTAAAGCTATCTAACAGTTTTAGAAAGAAACACACAGAAATGTGTGTTCCTTTTTTCTTTTAATATTATAATCTTAAGGGCGTATAGTTTTACTATAATGTAAAGTGTACTATAAAGTGTTCAGTATAAGTTTATGGAAAGTATATGTATATGATATGTAATTACAATATTGCATTTTTAAATTTAAAGTGTCTATATAGTATAAAGGCATAGTACCTTGTTTTTGTTAATTCACTCATCTCCTTAAGAAGTCATACCTCAATACTATATTATATAAAACGAAAAATAATAAAACGAAAAAATAATAATAATAGTTCAATACAGAGTACGTATTATTAAAACAATTGCATTTGATTCAATTATAATGCATATATTGTTATACATTTACAGAACAAAGTGGCTTTTGGATTGTGGACAATGGATTAAAAAACCAGTTCCGGCACTTCACTTAGAAATTTAAAGTATTGTCTACCATTTTTTGACATTTTTACCTCATTTACCTCGAGTTAAGAAAGAGTAAAAGTGCTCAAACGTCAGTTATGACGGTTGTGACTACTTTATTGGCATCTCACTTATTGAAGCTGTATGGTCAGCCAAAAATAAAATTAATTAAAAATGAAAAAAAAATTTGTTGTTGCAATTCAGTACTGTTGCAAACCTCTCTATTGGTCATATATAAAATTTCAATTTCTCAAAGTAGCTTTCTAAATTGCTCTTCATGTTTATATATATAATTTAGTGATAGTCGTAAATAAAATTGTAACATAAGATTTTTTATCCCAATAGAGCATTGCATAGTAAAAATAAATGATATATAACTTTTCAAAATTAAGTCATTTAAATTGGAAATAAAATCCTTTAAATTTTTTGCAACACAATTTATTTCTCAATTTCGCCAAATTGAAATGCGAAAATCTTCCCGGATAACGTGACAAATGCGTAATCATTTAGTAAATAAATAAGTGTCCGCACTCAATATCCTACTGCTAAAGCCGTTTGCACTCAATAAAAATAATAAAGCAGTAAGAGGAGCAGCAATACTAACAGCGGCAACTGAAGTAAGGACTATGGTAACGGAAACGGAAATACATTGGCATAAGATTAGAATGCTCAACGCAAAGCGGACATCAGTGTTGATTGTTTTTTAACGTGGAGCATAAATTATGTTCATCATTGGCAAAGCTACCAGGAGTTACTAAGCGCTACAAAGCGCTATCATCAAACCTTATATTGCTGTAATCATACGCATCAAATTCATCTGGGGCACACTCAATTTATGGAGACTTCGAATATCAGAGTCGGTACATGGCGCGATGGCGTCAAAACAGTTAAGCGCGCCAAGAACGTAGCCACAATATTGGTAGTTAGTTTGTGTTTGTATTTATAAAAGTTTGTATATATCGAGAGCAGTTTTTCTTTATGGGGAATCTGTGTAACTATGCGAATGAGCAACTTCATCAGCAGCATGTGTTGTCTCATCAATAAAATCATCGAGGTCATTAAATGGATTAACTGCTACCATCAGTTGCATGCGGTGCTAGCAAATACTTCGTACAGCTCCGTACAGCTCCGTTCAGTTCAGTTCAGCTCAGCTCAACTCAGTTCAATTTAGTTTAGTTCGGTTCGGTTTAGTTCTAAGTGTGCTCCTACAAATTCCCAGTAAGTAAATGTCGCAACATTTCATTTCCTTCCATTTTGTGTTTGTCTTTCTATTGGAGCGAAGCGTTGGAATTATATGCGTACATTTTCCATCATTTGGGGTTAGCTTCTTCCATACTTCCTTGCTCAACTTATTATATTTATTTTAGTTTCATATTAAGTGCGCATATTTTTCGTTCCTTTGACACATCCTTAGAGTTATCCTTCTTAATATTTGCCTTTTACTTTCTACTTCATAATATTTAAGTGTTGGTCCTTTTGCTTGGTTTAGTTACTTTGTTGCATTTGTTGTCAGTTTCTATATTTTCGTGCTCCACTTTTTAGATACTTAGAACTAAGAGCATCCTTTTTTATCCTTGTGCAAGAATTTCTACTTGTTTGCTGATGTTTCGTTTTTATTATTTTATTATTTCTTTTTTTTACTTGCTTCATCTTATTGCGTCCTGATGCTATTGACATGTACAAATTAGGTTAAATTATTAACTGACAGTTCACTGAACTGGAAATTGGATACTTTATTAAATTTTTCTTCAGCATGTTTCGCACTGTTATGACATATTTTTAGGCGCACTATCCCTTTTTTAATTGCTATTTGATACTCTATTATATTGTGTCTCACATTAATTACAATAATTTAGTTACATGATTTTGTGAACTGAAGGGTGAACTGACTTGATAGTAGATAACTATTTCAGAAAGCTGCGTAGATAAATTGTTAGCATATTTTAATATAAAAATAATAGTCAGCAATATGTTGGTTTATATGAACAATTTCTAAAAGGATCGGAACTTATAATTTTAACTCAAAGTTATTATTTCAAACTTTTTCCGATAACTACAGTCATTAAATAGCTATCACATACCACATAGCAATATATTCTATATAAAACGTTATTTAATAACTAAGGTTAATTTTTTCTTGCCGATAATGGCGTGTCTTTTTATGACGAAAGAAACTATTTAAAAGTTAAACAGATTCAAATAGCAAAGAAAGGACAAACACAAAAATTTATTTTTAATTTTATTGAAAATTTGGCTGACCATACAACGCTGTTTCGAGTATTGCCAAGTACTCTTCATCAGTGGTCTTTGGAAATAATCGAATTTTTATTTAATTAGTTTATAGACCGTATATAATTTGTTTGGACTGCAAGTGCCAGGCTTAGAACTCGTGCCTGTCTAGTTATTTAATAACTTTTCTCAATTTGAGATTTTTGAGTTGTTTGATAACACATCAAGTTCATTGGTTGATGTTGGTAATCATGATGGGTGAAAGCAGGCTTACGCTGCTTTCTTTGAATTGGTTACGCTCATACCACCTTACAAATTTTTTTGTGACATAGCCTAATCACTAAAGGTTTTCTACAACATTATTCTTTATTCAGTACTGCTTTTTCCAACTCTTCAACTCTTTTTTTAATAGTTTTTATAATCTTATAGCTTTTATCTGATCTGGATCTTATAGCCAGATACTTGGTCAAAATTTTTATAGTACTTATATTATTACTTACAGTAATAGTTTAGCATGAAAGCTCAGTTATAGCTTTAAATCTTTCCTGTGTTGGGAGGTCTGTTCTTTGGAATACGTTTCGTTTAGTTATCTCTGAGATTTTTGAATCACATAAAAAATTTTAGGTTTAGGTAAAGAGGACACTCCTCTAGAGCATCTGATGTGTAATTGCCCGGCTCTCTCGAGAACTCGACAAAAATACTTGGGAGCTTTCAGTTTTGCAGGACTGGAGTACATACCTGAGGTTTCTGTTGGAATCTTAATAAATTTTGCTAATGAAACGCGCATCTTAAGTGATGCTTACAATCGCTAAAACAAGACTCTGATCTGGTATCGCAATGGACCTTAGTGGTCTACGCGTGGCCTTTATGGCCTGCCAGCATAATCTAATCTAATCTAAAGAGGACACTCATGCAATCATTGTAACACTTTATATAGGTAATATTTTTGTGTATTGTGTCCAATATTTCTTTCATTCCTTTTAATATTTCTTCTTTTATTTCCTATGCCCTCAAAATCGCATAACCAGAGGTAACTATTTGCTCTCTTTACCACTACAGTTTCCATGGTACTTAGCAACATTCACATAAAGATGAAAATCCCAATGTATTTATGATTTCTTTGCTAGAAGACTTTATGCAAAATTTATAAAGTAAGCAACTAAAGAGTTTTATTATGCTTTAGTGTACTTAAGTACTTTATTTCTGAATTTAAATAAAATATGCGGTATTTGCTTTATCTCTTTGGCAATAATTTAAAGAAAATGCGATATAACAATAAGCGCTATGCTAACATTTTCCGATACAACAATAATAAAAATAACAATATATATTTAAATGAAATAAAGACACATCACACTCATACCCCCACAGTTGCATTTCATAAGTATCTACGTTTGTGTGCTATGGTTTTGCCAAGTTTTTGTTAACAAAATTCGAAAGAAAATTGTTAAGATGTAAAAAGAGAAGAAATGGTGGCATACAGCTTAAGTTAAAAGTATTGTTACAATGTCCTTAGAAGATGCAAAGCAACTAGCAACTTGAGTTATTATGAGCACAACAGGGACGAGGTTGTTGCAATCAGTACATCTATAAGGACAATAGTGCGGGTAAGACTTAAGTTATTGTTTGCCAAGAGCAGCCACTATACTTACTGCAAATACACTTACACTCCCCTCCCGTATGTCATACTATTACTTTCCCACTAACAAAGCATCTAATACTACAGCCACTGCCACTACAACTGATACTACAATTGCTACTACTATTTTTACCACTTCTACTACTCTTCAAATAGCAGCAGTAACAATGGTGACAATATTGTCGAGCACTGAGTGATATTATTCAAAACTCTTTGATTTTTTATCATACATTTTTTTTTGCAAACTTTTTTTTTTTCTTATAGTACTCGTAACTGAAAATTGAAGAAGGAATGAAGGCATCGAACTGCACAAGTGTTGCAGCTGCTCAATACTGCAACATGATAAGGATGCAGTTTAGGAAAGTGGTAAGTATTAGTAAACATAATTTAAATCATATAAATAAAAAGAAAAAGTTCTTTTTAAAAAATACTTTTAGTTACAAATATTATATTATTTATTATAAAAAATTAAATAAAATTTTTTTCATTAATATTTTGTACTAATAATTTTTTTTTGAGTGTAAAAGTCAATGTATGTAATTTACTCGAAGCACAATCTGGAGTACTT